TGAGACACATTTTTCGAGCTCGAGTTGAAGTCTACTGACAAGGGTTTTTGCATTCACCTTGTACTCCACATTATACAAGCTGATAGGGAAGAATTGGGGAAAATCATCCCGTTACCTGATTTTGGGATAAAAGAGAGAATGTTTGGTTCAACTGCCTCGACATTAATTTTTGGCAAAGAACCTGGATCCAATTGATAACATGATCTAATAAACCTTCTCAGAACTCTATAAAGAAAACCAGACACAAGCCTCCAGGTCCTGGGGGCTTTTAGTGAGTGCATTTGCTTCAAAGCATCCCAAATCTCCTCCGTTGGAGGTATAACACAGATGCAGACATTTTCTTCCTGTAATGCTTGGTGTGATTAGACCCTCCATGCTCCAGGTCATGAGGAATTTCTGTATTTGATGACTCAAAGGAAGAGATAATGTTCAAAAACATTTGGCCAATTTTTCCCTCCTTTCTATCCAGTTGTCCTGTTTGTGTTTGATGAATACAATGCTCTATGTCTCCTTCTAATCATAGTGAAAATGTCAAGGATTGAATGCATGACTCCAATTAACCAAAGCTCCCTCAGACCTTCACTGCCAAACTCCAACCTGGTCCAGAGTTCATCAATATCCTGTATATTGTCCTGTTGTTTTCATGTTATCTTCAGAAGGGTCTGCAGTTGAAGCTCCTCCAAGGCAGTATAACTCTTTAATTTTTCCATTGCAACTCCGAAGACATATTTGCTCCAGCTCTTCGACTCTTTTTGGAGTATGTGGATTTTGTTAGCTGCGTTTATAGGCTTCTAATCTAGCGAATTGTGCTAACTAGACACTTCAAACTACCTCTGTGCACTGCTGAACATGTTTCCTTTTTTTCCTAACTTTTGCAGCCATGTATCTAGATCTAGATGAGCTTGAAAATTACTAATTTCATTCCAATCGAATTATGATTTTCGATAACCATCAATATTCTGCTTGTTATCAATGCAATTGCTATGCATGTCCAGGAAGAAACTGTGGATGACTTTGTAGAAAGTGGCATAGATCCTCTCACGGTGTCTCTCTACCAGATGGACTTGGATAGGACGCAGTTCTTATTGAGATCATATCTCCGGATTCGTATACAAAAGGTAGCGACTTCCTCCAACATCATTCCTTTTACTTTGAAGAAATTCAATCTGCCAAATTTTGGCTATTGGTTTCCACTATGCCGGAAAATAGATGTTTTATGTTTTATCCTGACTATATGAATTACTGGTGGAATAAACAATCGAGGGAAGGTCCTCTGTATTCCTTTTGATAATTTCTAACAATCCTGCGCTTCTTAGTAGGGATAGTTATGACCGTATAGACTTATCCTGTTCTACAAAGATAATGCTTGTGTGAATAAAATCTGATTTCCACAGTCTTTATGACATTAAGCATTTCTTTGTCAAGCTACTAATTTCTGGTATCCTTTTGCAGATTGAAAAGTTTATGTTCCACATTTTGAAGAAAAACGAATTGCATGATCGGCTCTCTAAACAAGAGAGAAACTTCACAAGAAGGTGAATGAGGCGAATTTTTTGTTATGTCATGACTTCAGGGTTATCTCTTTTTCTGTTTTTCCGAAATTAAAGCCTTCACTTCATGTTTACAGATATTCCGAAGTTATTGGGAAACATCTTGAGGAAAGTGTGTTATTGAATTTGCCTGATAATTACCAGTCTTTACTCAGGCAATCGACGACTAGTGAAGAGGATGACATGGGTAAGGCGATCTTCTTTCCTGGTCCCTTATCTCTTCCTATTTAAATAGTATGAGTTTTCTACAATACTTTTTAATGCTTTTACTTAACTCTGGATTTCCTTCTTTTGATCTATGTCAGTGCGCTTGCCTTTGCATGAACTGAATTTTCATCTATTCAATTATGTAATCCGTTTATACAGGGCTCTCAAAGAACCTCAATTCTAAATTTTTTTTGCTGGAAATGCCTAGGAAAATTTCAGGTTAATTTTCCTAAATCTTTCTGCATCTGTTAAGATCATGATTTTAATTTTCGTAGGGATAATAATGGTACCCTGATTTTGAACACCTTTTCTCACAATGTGAAAGCTTTTGAGAAATTCACAGTTGCATGTTCCCCTGCCCTACTTCCAGGTCTACAATTAAAATCTCCTTTTCCTCAGTACCTTGCTACCAACTGTTGGCTGTGCCGTCACTCAATCTGAGAAAATTGTGCTTGTAACTCTTCAATCTTGAGTAGCCACTCGAGAATCTGCTGGTTCAGCAGTTGGTGCTAGAACTAGCCATAACATTGGTAGACTTAAGCTAGTCATCACAAGTTTTTTACCAGGGAAGACCCTTTTCTTACAAAACAGTGAAGAGTCACTCATACTGAACTTGTGGATTTCTATTTTTTGGCCAACAAACTCGTGGATTTTACTTATGCTTGATTACATTGATTTCTAGAACCAATAAAGAGAAGAAATAGAGAATTAGTCTGACTGTTGTACAGATCTCTCTCTCTCTCTCTCTCTCTCTCTCTGTGTTAGTAATATGTGTTACTCATTAATTTTGTAATAAGTTTCTGAATATTCCCTTTTTGAGTTCAATAAGCTTACTAAGTTTCAGCTTGGATTTGCTCAGTTTGTGCTTTTTTTAGTGGATACTTGATAGTAGCCGCACTCTTGTCTTTCTTTAATAAATAATCACTCCTGCTTTCAGTCGCCGAGCCACAGATGGACACTTTCGTCGTATGCAAAGCCAGGGAATATGTTGGACCTTCTGAATTACAAGACAGGCAATCTAGTTTTCCTTCATATCTACAGTTTTACTTTTGGCTGAATGTCCTTAGCTTGTTTCTTATCTGATGTTGGCAATTGATGGATTTATTCCTAACTGGCAGCAACAAGTCCTTGACAACGGATCTGCTCATGGAGATGGAGCCAGGTGAACTGTTCTTCATACCATTCAAGCGCATAAAGAAGCTTCTTGAGAATGGAAAAGTCGATCTAGTCTGAGCCCACAATTGTTTTGCTCCTGCAAGATGATGAGAAAGATAAATGTTCTCTATTTTTGGTAGATGGTTTTTCAAAAATTGCTTACCATCTCCTCTGGCTGTAATCTATCAGGTGTTTCGTCCAAAATCCATGTCAAAAAACACATGATTGTCGGAAGTAGCTCTTTGTTACTTATTTCAGTTTGCCATCCCATTATCTTCTGTATTGACGTGCTAATAGTTCCGGGGAATTTCTTGATAGTCCAATGGCGAATGATGCCTTGGTCTTAAGACAGAAGGCTACATGACACACATTGTTAGGAGAGGCAGTGGCTTGCTGGTATATTAGCAGCAGAAATGAGTACAGGTCTACAGAAAGTTCAATAATGGTTGCAAGACTGGGTAAAAGAGCTCGTCGGTATTAGGCACGGGCGACCTGATCATGGGCTCGAGAGGCTGATCTTTTTTGGTGGCTCAGCCCAAGCAAAAGATACCTTTTTTTTCCTTCCAGAGTTCGGCTCAACCCTCCAATGAATGGGTTTGCTTAATCATGTAATTCATTTGGTGGATGCAAATCTAACATGGGTCACTGGTAAAAAAAAATCTACTCAAATATTTGTTCTTGGGTAGCTGGCTGTTGAAACCACCGATCTTTTATATTTTCAACTTGTCCTCGTGAGTTTTCAGTCAGACCTCACGGACCGACGACTGCAGCCATTGTTCTGGCCAAGCAGTTCGGCATGCAACCTACTGATATCAAGAGTTAGATTTTGCTTCTATTGTTATTTTCTGCTTATGTTTTAGGAGATATTCGATCGAATAGAAGATATCAAAGCAAAGGATATGAGATTCTGTAGCAGCCCTATCTTATCTAAAGTACATTGGGTTTCATGAAAGTGAATATCCATCACATGTAACTCATGTTCATGTTAACGGAGTATACTGGGAGAGATGTTATACCTTGGTTTTCAGAACAACAGCAAGACCTGCATGACACAGATTTTTATCAGAGCATGGTGTATGATTGCAAGTAGCTCAAAGGATATTCATATGCTTTGGATCCAGCAGTCGTTCATTCCAGAACACATTCATTGTCAACTCAGTGTATAACTTGCATAAGATCAATCGAAGCAATTTAAGCAAACAACTCAGAGAATAAAGGGAGAACAAAACGATTTGCAGTTCAGATCATGTTTGATAAACATCATTGGGGTTAAACAAAGATGATGCGAAATACATCCGAATGATATGAAAGAAGAAACAAAACTGCATGAGGGAAGGTAAATTTAAATGAGCACTCGATACATCTATATGCAATCGATATATAAATTTAGTTGAAATGACTCTATCTGTTTAGTACCGGTTTGAGGTTTTTGGTGGTCAAAAAATTAGTTTGGGGTAAATTTATGATAGGCGTACCGGTTTGGGGTTTTTCGTGTTATTATCCCGTCATTGTCGTAGTTTTTATATTTTCTTTTCTTTCTTTTTGATATTAGAGATTGTGAGTGGATTTTCAAGATTATTTATTATGTGCCATTTTTGAACAACATTGGGAATTCAACTTTGGCTACTTTTTTATTTTTTGTCAATTTTGAAAACTAAGATTAAAAGTTTGATTCAAGTAAAAATTCTAACAACTTTGGGATTAATGTAATTGTTGTGGGTAAAAAATGGATAATTACACAAATAGCTCTTAACTTTGTCTCAATGCGCAATTTGGTCCCAAAACTTTTAATTTATTCAATATGATCCCTGAACTTTAACCTAACGTGTAATGTGGCCCATGTACTTTTAATTTGTTTAACATGATCTTTGAATTTTTGGTAAATATCAAACTAGTCATTGAATTATTATATCCCTAAATTCAATATAATCTCTGGATTATTTAGTTTAAGTACTAAATTTAAAAATTTACAAAAAGTTCAAAGATCACATTAAACGAATTATAAATTTATTAATCATATTGAATAAATTAAAAATTCATACGTTACCTTATAAATCGCGATAGAATTGAGGGACTATTTGTATCATTTCTAGTGGAGAATGTACTCAAGTTGGGGCCTTGCTGTGCGCTACAGAACTTTGCAGAGCGGAGGATTATAGCAGACGACCTCCCAGCGAGAGACATAAGCTCATCAATGGTGGTGGGAAATCTAAAGCTGTGGACCGATCTGGCCGCGGAAGGACTGCAGAAGTCGCTCTCCGTCGCCAAGTTCCTCTGCCTCCTCCACGCCACCAACGCCTACTTCTGCACCGCCGTCACGGTAAGGAATGGAATCGAGCCGTCGTCGCGCGCCTTCCCGCGGTCTGAAGTTCCAGTCCCTTTGTGTTTCCCTTTGCTTTTAGCAGAAACCCAGAAGAGGGAGTTTCTCAAAGGAGGTTGTTTGGTTAATGGGTGTTCGTGTTTTTGATGTGTGCGCGTGTCTCGCAGCCTTACGGCCCGAGCATGCTGCCGACCCTGAACTTGACCGGCGACTTGGTCCTTGTGGAGCGGGTCTCCACCTGGCTCGGCAAAGTGGGTCGAGGCGACATGGTGCTCCTGCGGTCTACCGAGGATCCGAGGAAGGTCGTGATCAAGCGCGTCGTGGGCGTGGAAGGCGACACCGTGAGTTACCTCGTGGATCCCAAGAACAGCGACGCGTCGAGAACTTGCGTGGTACTTGTGACCAGCTTTCATGATTTTGTTCGTCCTGAGTTCTCTGCTTTGGATTGGATTCTGGGGACTCGTTGGAACTAGTCAGTGATTTTTGGTTAGTTCTGAATTGTGTATGCTGGTCTGGACTAATGATGCTTCTTGACAAATTTTGTTTCTTCTGAACTGTTTTTTTATTTTTATTTTTGTTGCTGTTTTACTGGGAGGCTGCTAGGGACTATGGAACGAGTTGACATTATTTGCAGTGCTCAGTTCATGGCTGTAAAAGATTGTGCTCCTTTCGATTTCACTTTCTTCCGGAATAAGCATGTCAAGTTTTCCTATATTATGTCGATTTTCTGGTAGATGCTGTTATAATTGATGCTATCTTGGTTTCCTTGTCAGAGGTTGTGGAGAATTTGCCTGGTTCATGTTATTATTTAACTATGCTACTTCTAATCTCTCTAAAAGTTTACTCTTATTACTACACTTTGCATTTCTACCCGTGCATTTTATTCTAAGAAGTAAAATGTTATCTGGAGTCCCCATGTCTCCACAGGTTCCTCGGGGAAACATATGGATACAAGGAGACAACATATACAATTCTAGGGATTCACGAACTTTTGGGGCTGTCCCTTATGGTCTTGTGGAAGGCAAATTATTCTGGAGGGTTAGTATGCTTATTCGTTTTCCCGTTTCAGCATATTCCTTTTCCTATACTCCAATACTTCCGTTTTTCCATTATGTTAAGGCCTTGAAGTTAGAACCGTGTTAATGCCACTAGATCTTTTTCAATATTCAACTTTTGTATAGCTTGCATATACTTTTGGAGATTATATATTGAGATTTCTTTTTGGAGTGATATGTGGTAAGTCGATAATGGGCAGAGAACATCTGTGAACTTGCATTTGCTCTGTACGAGAAAAAATTCGTGCAATTGTTCTCTGGTTGAATCAAACTATGATGACTGATTAATTAGGAAAAAGGATGCTGTATGATAGTATTCTATTGTCGTTGATCCATCAGGCCAGCCTCAAATTCCATTAGAGACAAAATCAAGTTACCTTGCTATATGAGTAGCTGCAACTGCAAGTAGATTCGTGGACTAGACTTCGAGATTGACATGTCATCCATATTGAAAGGGGACAAGGGAAGACTCTACAGACTTCCCTTAGTACAACATAAGCTATGTGATAGGTTTACAAGTTAAGTTAGGGCAGTGTTTGTGTAGCAAATCGCTGGGATCATATCCTGGGCAAAGGAAAATTACATTAACTTTCAAACTAGAGTGTGTTTTTGTTTCCTTCCCCAATTTTGCAATATCTTGAATACAATTGGAAATTCACCACCCCTCACATGTTTCCTCATAGTTGACACATCATCCTCGGCAGCCCTTAGAAGTATTGAAAAGATCATGCTGTACCTTCTGAATGATGTTAATGTTATAAGCCATAATGTCAAGGGAGCCAAAAGAACATTTGAACAAGGGCACATGTCCGTGCATGAGTTTGTACACTCATGTGGAAGCGGGGTGTTGTTCTGGTCATTAGAATGCTATGTTCCTCAGATTCCTTTTGGACCATGTACAGAAAGGAAGGAATTGAGTTTTTACAATGAGAAGGTCAATATCTTTTTCTCCTTCGATTCATAAGTAAACAAAGGTTTTCTGGAATGCTTGCTCTCTTCATGATATGTACGGTTTTTGCTTCCTTGCATAAATATGTTATTTGGGTCAAGAGGCCTCCTTCCTCATTGCTTCTCTTATGCAATTAAAACATGTGAGAGAAAAATGCATAGATCTCTACTTGATCCTGCCCTATGCACTACTTATCTGAAATGATTCTGTCAGCAGATGTGGCCACTCAAAAGCTTTGGGTCTCTACATGGAAAGGCCTAAGAAGATTCGTAGTTCTTTTGAGGTACATTTTCTTTTGTTTTAATGTATGCAAGAACTGCTGCTTTTGGATTTTGATTAATTGATTTAGCTTTTTCTGTTATCGTTAAGGTCTGGTGCCGTCACTACTTTTGTGTAAAATCAAGATTTTGTTTCTCTCTGATCATTACAGCGCATATCCAACGATAATGACATCACTTGCTTCGGAAATGTCAACATTTTTTTCTTGAATGAGAGATAAGATTTCATTGAGGGCATAGATCAGGCATATCCAACGATAATGACATCACTTGCTTCGGAAATGTCAACATTTTTTTCTTGAATGAGAGATAAGATTTCATTGAGGGCATAAATCAGGTCGCTAGTTTCTTGAGTGAGGCTCGATGAACCAAACTGCTAACAAAGGGTATACATCATTACATTGTTTTAATGAATGATTTTTCCATGTGCTATAGGAACCAGATGTGTAGATCTACCATTCTCTTCTCTTAGCCTACTGTTGTCTCGTCCCTCTTATATTTGTCATCTCACCCCCATCCCCCAAACAAAAAGAAGTGTATTTCTTTCTTGGTCCTTGCAAATGCACATTTCTTTCTTTACCTTTCACCCTCTTCTCCAATAGACATGATCTCCCAAATTACCTGATTCTCAAATCGACTTCAATGAATGAATTCGCTCATTACACAATAAGGTCTTACATTTTCCGAATCTCCAATTGAAGCACAGCTTTTAATCCACAAAATCTGACGACGAGATCAAATCTTAAGCAAATAGAGTTCAGGCAAAGAAAATCCAATATACAGAAATGGTGGGAGATGACATTAACCAACCTGTGAGCTAGATGAACGATTTCCCATCCCACCATTTGATTGTTGCACTTATCTCAACACCTCTATCTCCTTTTTTTTGTATACCTTTGCATTATCCAGAAATCTGCCCAAACAATAGAAGGTTAGAAGACTTCACAAAATGTTTGCTTCAGCAAATCACGTAATGGGTCAATTTGAGTGCTCAATGCTGCTGTTTAGCTAATTTCAGACTTAGAACAGCACTAGAGGTTGTTGTTTGGTCTGTTCCTGCCCAAGAATAACACTTAGGGGTGTTGTTCGGGTTGAGACAGCACAGGAACAGCACTAGTGGGTGCTTTTTATGCTGTTTTAGCACCTGAACAGCACCTGCAGGTGCGTTTAACTGCTTTTTGAGCAGTGATGGGTTCCTAAACAACGGCTGCGGCACTATTACAGTTACTAAAGGTCCTCTAAGTGTTGGTTCTGCATCTAAACAGGCAATCTTTAGTGCTATTGACTTTGACCCATGAAAAACTATGAATTAGCAAATGGAGATATCGGCAGAAAAAGAATAGTGGACCAACTCCAATCAATCACCTCTTTCTATAAATCGTATGATGAAGTTAAAAAATCAACACATCGAGCAACAAAAGAGCCATAATCATACATTCGATGTCCACGCAAAGTTCACAACCAAGAGACATAGCTAGCTAAAAGTTAATACCAATCGATTTAAAGCTTGGCAAGTTCCCTCGATCTTACAATCAAGTCCAAAATTGCAAATCGTAAATTTGGAGTTCTCAAGTTTACTGGTCAGTATTAGTTTCAATTTTCATGCGTCATAAGGACACTAGAAGTGTCAAAAGTTAATGCAATCCCGGGAGTGGCATAACTCATTCGCTCACCTTCGCCTACCTTTGATGTGACCCACAACCAAGGCTATGACATCTTGACTCTCTAGCAAAAGCATGACAGATAGCTTAATCGATGTTCCGGGGGGAAAGCAGCTTTTGCCCTAAACTGGTAAAGGAAGTGCTTTGAATTATATAGCCTTCTCTATGATTTGAATCCCATCTCTCGCCGATACCGCTATCTAAAGAAATGATTAGTCTGCACTTATATGACCAAACAAAAAGACAGTCATCTCCGGGCTACGAATAGAGGCACAAGGAATCATATATCAAAAGAGCAGCACCTTAATCAGTTCATATCAACTAGCTTTCATGCCCCTTTCACCTGAACTACGATAAGAGTTTATGAGTTCATCTGTCCTTCCGGAAGCATGGTTCGATGAGGCTTCTTTCTTAGATGTTCAAGTGTAGTACTTACTTCATACCTTTCTTATTAGTACTACTTATGCTTTTGAATTATGCTATGCCTCCTCTTTCTTTTCCCATTTCTCATTTTTCTTATTTGTGAGACTCTAACTTTGGTGCAAAAAGTTTTTTTCGGATAACATAAGTGCTACTTAAAAAAAAACGATCACTTAAATGCCAACTCTTTTTTTATTGGAAATTTGACGTGACAATGTTTTATTAATTTCTCCTACTGACGTGGCCCGTTGGCATGCCCAGTCAGCATATAGACCCCTAAATGACTTCGTCTACAACGTTTGCCCCTAGCAAATCGAAAGAAATTCCCAAATTTGAAACCCACAACCATTCAACCCAAAATCGAAACCCTAATTCAATTTGCCCCCAAAATTAACGGCCCAATCTTGCAAATGAAGAGAAGGAGCACGATGAGCGGCTCAAATTCGTTTCAACAAAGCAAAGAAGAGGCTAAATATAACTGTTATTGCGGGCTATTGAGTCCAAGAAAAACATCTTGGCTTTGAACTGACACTAAAACATCAATATGATCATAACTCGTTAAACGACACTTCGGATTTTCAATGATTTACACATGAGTGACATGGACAATTCTCGGCGAGCTACACGAGCACCAGTGAAAATAAACATGCCTCGCCAAAACACAAGGAGGCCCATGTGGACTTTGGTGCAGTCACGTTTGAGGCATCTCTTGAGTTACCCATCTTAAAGGGAAAATTACCAAAAAGTGCCCAACCTATTGCATTTGTGCCAATTGAGTCCCAAACCTTTTAATTTGGCCAATTCGGTCCTAAACCTTTTGCAAAACAGCCAATTCAGTCCTTTTGGCCGGCCGTGCCCAACATGGCCGCCGGCCGGCGAGTGGCGCCGGCCGTCCACGTGGCAATATTTTAATATTTTTATTATTATTTTCAATTTTTTCTTTTTTTTCTTTTCCTTCTCCCCGGCTTGTCCGGCCGGGAGGCTCGCGAGGGCCCGGCTCAACGAGGCGAGCGGGCCCTCGCCGCCCGGCCGGGCGAGGCGGAGCTCGCCCGGCCAAGGCGAGCTCCGCCTCACGGAGGCTAGGCGAGCTCGCCCGACCATGGCGGCGGGCCCTCGCCGCCGGCAAGCCTCGCCCAACTCCGGCGGCGGAGCTCGCCTGTCATGGCGAGCTTCGCCTCGCCGAGATCAGGCGACGGCGAGCTCGCCCGGCTCCGGCGAGGCGGAGCTCGCCCGGCCAAGGCGAGCTCCGCCTCGCCCAGGATCTGGCCGAGGCGGAGCTCGCCCGGCTCATGCGAGGCGAAGCTCGCCCGGCCATGGCGAGCTTCGCCTCGCCGGATGCGAGGCGAGGCGGAGCTCACCCATCCATGGCGGCCGGGCCCTCGCCGCTCGCCCGGCTCGCCATAGGCAGGCGAGGGCCCGGCTCGCCTCGCGGGGCCTGGCCCGCGGCGAGCCCCCCCCCCCGGACGGGCCGGGGGGGAAGAAAAAAAAAAAAAAAAAAGAAAAAGAAAAAAATTCGAAAATAATAATAAAAAATATTAAAATATTGTCACGTGGATGCCGGCCGCGCCACGTCATCGGCGCAAAAGGACAATTGGTGGTTTGCAAAGGTTTAGGACGAATTGGCCAAATGAAGGTTTAGGGTGAATTGGCAAAATGCAATAGGTTGAGGACTTTTTTGGTAATTTTCCCCCCATCTTAAGGGTCGGGTAGGACTCTTGTCTCCTCCTTTACTTTTTGCATTTTCCACTCTTTGGGCGAAATACAAAAATGCTTAAAAAATATAGATAACATAAATAAATTAATTTAGAGAATTTCCAACAAATTCAAAGACAAAAGATATATAAACTCTTTTGTCTTTGAATTTGTTGGAAAGACAAAAGAGTTTATAAACTTACTTACCAAAAAAAAAAAGATATATAAACTCCTAAAACATTCACTAATCCAAAATTCAAAAGTACGAGCGATAGTTTCAAAAATCGCCTACCCCAATAATTAATCGATAGTGGTGGAATTTGAAGTAGCCATGAGAACCTTGATATGGTGTAGTGAAGCTAAGCCATTCCATACTGTTATGCAAGTTAAGAACCCCGGATCAAGGAGATTAATTGTCAACGGTTGATCGAGAAATACTATATTGACCAGTGAGTAGGGATGATGAAATTACCTAGTTGAAGGAGGAGTTCTCTGTCTGCAGTTACGAAATCCGAACTTGGGAGGCTTTAAACACGTCGCCTGAGCTGATGGTAGCCACTTTGAGCTTTTTCGATCAAGAAGCAGGTCGAAAGAGAGCAATGGCGACTGCAATGAGAATCCATGGAGATGGCGATTTTTTTGTGACCGTTGATTGTTCAACTGGTAAGGGGGGGTCCTAGTGGCATCTTCGCTAACGATTCGGAAGTCGGTGGAGGTGCATCGAATGAGGTGGAAGCACTTCAAGTTTCCTGGCCAAGAAATAGGGCAGAACAAAGCCGCTCCTCAATTGCTCCGAGATGATGAGTGGCAATGGCCAGCAGTCGTTCCAGCAGCTTGAAAACGATGAGGAAAGCCGTCACTGGTGGTTGACGCCAACGAATGAGCTTCGGGGGCGTACCCCAAACTCTTTAAGCTTTCTTCACCGGAAAACAGAGCAAAAACGGGACAAACTGATCGCGGCTTCACTAATGACCAACGAGGGCGGTGAACGGCAGGTGACGTTGGTCTATGGCTGGCTTGAGAATTGGCAACCAGTGTGTGTTAATAGTGGCTGCCCCATGTTTTTGCTCATGCTCGGTTGGGTGATGCCTTCGGGAGAATGGCCGAGGCATGGTAGTGATCGACGTTGACCATGCCTAGGACAACAATGGTTGTGCGTGGGTTAGGGATGGTTGTGAGTTTTTTCTCTATGGAGGGGAGTGACGGATGGTGGGTAGCGAACGGCAGATGGTAGTGTTGTGGGATAGGGAGTCGTTTTTTCGCTTGGGACTCGAACGTTGAACGGCAGAGTTTTTTTGCGTAGGAGTGGTGCGACGTCGTTTTTAGACAACATGTTCACGCGGACTGGTTTTTAAAATAAATAATGTCAACTCATATTAAAGTTTTAATTATAAAAGTCACATAATATTTTTTGCCAGAATTTCTCGCCGGAGACGCTTAAGTGATTGTTATAAGCCAGCGAAAACTTATGGCACTATAGTGAGCAACGTATGAAACTTTTGGCACTTTCAACATCCATATGCCCAACGTAAAGATAGAACATAAGTGGCTTTGTTTGCGATCGCAACGAAATCATCCTACTAAAATTTATGCCTAGAACTTAGACTTGAAATCACCCTAGCTCGAAAAATACAATTTTCTTTATGTTCAAAAGCCCAGAACCTAGTTAGACCAAGATTGATTATTGATTATGGTAGCATTAACGCTGTAACATTTGATAATAGCATCGAAGTAGTAAACTCATTCTTGTTAGTATGAGAAAGGTATGACAATTTAAATATACTTGGAGTTTGCATTATTGTACTTAAAAAATATTTAGTTAAGCCAAATAATTATATGTTCAATTAACATCGTTGTCACTAAACAACATATGTCGTGTTTGAATGCTAGTTATACTTTTTTATTATCTTATTGCTCAACGAAACCTTTCAATTGCAAGTTAACATGGTTAAACTAAATGTCAACTAGTTAGTTTTAACTAAATACATTTATTTATCTTAATAATAAGTGTTGACACAATTCAACAAAAGGACATGAGATTTTTCCGTCCTCACACGATGAAGCAAACGCAAACTCAAGAAGTATAATAGCTCCTTTCATTCCACGTGTCGATTGTCTTTCCGAGAAGATAGATAGATCCACCTTAGGAAAAGTTATCCAAAAAGTTGTAAACCTATTGTACGAAAAGCCAATCTTAAGTCTTAAATCTTTCAATTGTGCCAATTTATACCAATTTAGTCCTAAACCTTTTGATGATTTACCAATTTAGTCATATATCTTATAGTCCTTCCGACCAAATATCCAAATAATAGGTCTATGACTAAATTGGAAAATCTTCAAAGGTTTAGGACTAAATTGACACAATTGAAAGGTTGGGACTAAATTGGCAAATTGTTAAATGTTTATGATTAAATTATCACAATTGAAAGGTTTATGACTGAATTGATCACCGTACGATAGGTTTAGGACTTTTTGAACAATTATTCCTCCACCTCGTGTACTTCAGATGAGAAAGCACTAAACTGAAATTATTTAAGAAACTGTGAGAATAAAACACAAGACAGGTAAATTCTTTTTACCTCTGGACAAATACTATGAGGGGGACATGTTCATATCGCTGGTTGCATCTATCCTAGGCAAATACGAGTAAATAAGGAACTCTTACTTCGAATGCAGTCAGTCATGCAATCAATTTGGATATTTGCATAAAGGAGTAAAGGAAAGAGACGAGAAGGTTAGGTTATGTTCGTTTCACATAAAATAACTTTCGAAAAAACGTTTTCCGAGTTTTCCAATGCTCGTTTCACGGAAAATAACTTTCTACGGAAAACATTTTCCAAAAAATGGACAAAACACTTTCACTTTTGAGGAAAATATTTTCCTCTTTTTGAAAAGAGTAAAACATTTTTCCCCCTCCTTCTTTCACCATTCATTTTAAATATTTTAATTTTCTTTTTATCCTTCTCTTTTCAATCTTCTTCTCCGGCCACAAGAGAGCTCGAGCCTCGCTGGCCTGTCGCGAGGCCGAGCTCGAGTCTTACTAGATCCGGTGAGCTGGGCGAGGCTCGAGCCTCGCCCGGCTCGCCTAACAGGCCTTGGGAGAGCTTGGCCGCGCCAGATCAGGCGAGCCAGAGCCTCACCACAGGTTAGTAATGCTCAAGCTCGCCGGAATCTGGCGAGCTCAAGCATCGCCGGCCTATGGCGAGGCTCGAGTTGGCCGATCGCCGGCCGTCGCCGTGGCCAGCGACCGGCTGAGGAAGAAGAAGAAGAAGGAAAAAAAAGAAAAAGAAAAAAGAAAATTAAAAATATTTTTAAAAAATAAAAATAAAAAATTATTAAAAGTAGTGTAAAGAAGAAAATCTTTTCCATACCGAACAACAGAAAATATTTTCTGAAACTTTTTCAGATTTCAGCTAAACACCGGAAAATTGTGTCATTTTTCAGGAAAATGACTTCCTGGAAAACATTTTCCAGAAACATAACATTTTTCGCGAAACGAGTGAAGCCTTAATGAGATCGCATTCCACTTCAAGAGATGTCTCTAGCAACCTGGCTTGGTGTTCTAGGAACATATCTGACTTTAGGAATGGGCATGGGCTGGGGCGGGGATGCGGATGGGGATCCTCCACCCCGCCCTGTGGTGGAAGAATTTGTCCCCGCCACCGCCCTGCGCCATGAGCGCATTGCCCCACGCAAGGCCCGCTGCCCCGTCGGAGGCAAAAATTTTGGGTAACAATTTTTTGATCGATTTTTCTCTAAACGTGCATTGTTTTTACACAATTAAGTCGCTGCGACCAACCGGACGAGCCTCAAGCGATGGACGAGTGACAGGAATTTTGTTTAAATAGTTATACAAATTATTTTGTAAAGTTTTTTTTTCTTTCCAAATTATTTTTCCAACTTTTAGTTAGATTTAGGTAAATTGTCAACGAGACTTGACAAGTATTTCTAGTAATTTGATCATGTTAACTGACGTAATATCACCAGCGCAGGTACATGTTTATAATTAACAGTCAACTTATCTCATGATTTTTGCTCACTGAGTCTATTTTAATTGCTGGATTTACAATTTACTTATAAAGAATATAGCTGTATTTTAGTTATCTTGATTATAGAAAGAGGTGATTATCAAGTAACTGTACGTTTTTTCTGCTAAGATTGTTTAAATAATAATTCATATTATTTTAGTAAGGTTGTTTTAACTGTTCTTCAAAATTATTTTCTCAAATTATAGATGGATATATGCAACTTCAGAGACATTTTTATTAATTTGACAGTGCTAACTAAGGTGATATATATATAAACTGGGGAAAAATGGAGGGTTTTACAAAATTTTAAATTGCAGAAAAACATTGTAACTATTGTCAGCACTCATGTTGTCTTATGAGTTTTTCTCATTGAGTCCATATCAATAGCTAGACTGACAATTGACTTTTAAAGAAGGTGTATTTTAGGATCCATTTATTTCATGAAAAATGAATAATTTTGAAAATATTTTCCAAAGAGTGATCTTTTGTATCGCTTATAAAAATGAATGAACAAAAAATATTTTCATCGTCCACTAAAATATTTACGATAATGGAAACATTTTTCATTGACTATTTATTTCAAGCGATACAAGTGATTAATTTTAAGAAAATATTTTCCAAAACATTCATTTTCTGTGCAACAAACGAAACCAATCAAGTTAATTATAGAAAGAGGTAATTATCAAGTAGTTATAAACTTTAAAGAACTAACAATTTAGGTGGTAAATGTTAGAAACATCGTGCTTGCTCCAATTTCTAGTGATAGTAAACTATACATCTTAGTCAACGATAGTGAATATTGTGTTTGATAAATCACTTATTATTAGTTATAACTTAATCCTCTCATCATAACTCACCTAGCTCTCAATAGAGTACAAAGGGACAAAAACAATGTTCTTCTGTGTACGTGACAATGTGAACTTATCTCCATCGATTCACTTTTTTTGTGACAAAATCTAGGCAAATCGGATAGTGACAAACTGCTAAATTCATGGAACTTATTTGGTTCCCAATAAGTATTGGATAGAGATAATTAAGATATTCATATTATCTCACTTGATTCATCATATCTCTCATTACATTATTGTGCAATCAATTTGATTGATTGACGGCGATGGATAATGTTGATTATATACTCATCATTAAAGCCTATAAATACCTCATTAATACTGTGAGAAATTACACAATTCTGTTAGCTTCTGCACATATCTGACCTGTTCTAATTAGGTTCATCTCCAATTCAGCTCTCCATTGGTCAACATCAATCTCCAAGTTACTTTTGCATAGAAAAGTCAGAAATGCCTCAGTTCACCACAATCACCTTCATCTTTCTCATTCTTTGCACGACCTGTACGGCCATGAGAACAACTACAAAAGCAAAGCCTACTAAATTTAGCATTGACCATTCATCATCATCTTCTTCTAGGAATAGTAACTACACTTACGTGTGCGATGCCTCGCGATACGCGAAACTCGGCCTCAACATGTCGGACTTCTCGTTCTGCGACTCCTCACTCTCCTACAAGGAGAGAGCGAAGGATTTGGTGAAGCGGATGACCCTCCAAGAGAAGGTACAGCAGCTCGGCGACCTCGCCTACGGAGTCCCGAGGCTAGGGCTTCCCAAGTATGAGTGGTGGTCCGAGGCACTCCATGGCGTCTCTAACGTGGGCCCTGGGACCTTCTTTGATGATGTTGTTCCCGGCGCGACGAGCTTCCCAACCGTCATCCTCACGACCGCCTCCTTCAATGAGTCTCTATGGAAAAGTATTGGCCAGGTGGACGAAAAATTTACCCACATAACCACCATATCATTATGTATGTGTATGAATCTTGAACTATGTACTCAAAATTCAATGAACAATCAAAACTAGAGGCTGAAAGAACATTATGTGCGCTTGTCATATTAAAACGCAGGCTGTTTCGACCGAAGCGAGAGCAATGTACAACCTAGGAAGGACCGGGTTGACGTATTGGAGTCCGAACATTAACGTGGTAAGGGACCCCAGGTGGGGACGAGCTCTGGAAACCCCCGGGGAGGACCCTTTCGTGGTCGGGAGGTACGCCGTGAACTACGTCCGCGGCTTGCAAGACGTTGAGGGAGCCGAGGTCACGGCCAACCCGAACCAAAGGCCTCTCAAGGTCTCCTCATGTTGCAAGCACTACGCAGCGTACGACATCGATAACTGGCTAGGGGTCGATCGTTTCCACTTCGACGCGACGGTAAATCATTGACGAAAAAACCTCCCACTCCTATTTCGCATTCTAGGGTTTTTGTTCATAGAGAAGCGAAAAAAAAGCTTACATCGGTTCGCTTATTTTTCAAGGTACGCGAGCAAGACATGGAGGAAACATTCCTCAGGCCTTTCGAGATGTGCGTGAAAGACGGCGACGTCAGCAGCGTCATGTGCTCTTACAACAGAGTCGACGGGATTCCAACTTGCGCCGATCCGAACCTCTTGAAGGATACGATCAGAGGAGAGTGGGATCTTCACGGGTATATCGTCTCCGACTGCGACTCTATCCAAGTAATGGTGGATTATCACAAGTTCCTCGGCGACACAAACGAGGACGCCGTGGCGAGAGCGCTCAAAGCAGGCTAGTTCTGGCCGAGCTCCCTTCACCAAGATGTTCATCTTCACTTTCAATTCATTTGGTTATGTGTTCATTTTCTTGTAGTGATATATGGGTGAACTTTCTTTTACTGTAACAGGTTTGGACTTGGATTGTGGAGTTTACTACACGAATTTCACGGCCGATGCCGTGATGCAAGGGAAGGTGAGGGAGAGAGAGATCGACAGCTCGTTGAACCATCTCTATGTCTTGCTCATGAGGCTAGGGTTCTTCGATGGAAGTCCGAAGTATGAATCCCTCGGCAAGGACGATGTTTGTACCAAGTCGAATATCGAGTTAGCAGCTCAAGCGGCGAGGGAAGGAATCGTTCTCTTGAAAAATAACCAAACCCTCCCTCTTAGTTATCACAAAGTCAAAACCCTAGCCGTCGTCGGCCCTCACGCCAACGCCACCGCGGCGATGATCGGCAACTATGCCGGTACGTGGCCCGGGTTTACGATGACGTGTCTAATTTATGAGTTCCGTGTACTGCTTCCTTTTTTTGTCTCTTACTTTGTGATCTTATGACTAAAATTCAGGCATTCCGTGCCGATACACCGCGCCCATCGACGGCTTCTCGAGGTATGGAAAGGTGAAGTACGAGATGGGGTGCGGGGACATCGCTTGCAAGAACGACAGCTTCATTTTCCAGGCCATGAAAGCCGCCGCGCAGGCCGACGCGACGATAGTCTTGGCGGGACTGGATCTGTCGGTGGAGGCCGAGGGTTTGGACCGGACCGACCTCTTCCTTCCCGGCTACCAAACTCAGCTCATCAATCAAGTGGCCGAGGTTGCCAAGGGCCCCGTCGTCCTCGTGATTCTATCGGCCGGCGGCGTCGACATCTCGTTTGCGGAGGAAAATCCGAAAATCGGCGGCATCTTGTGGGCTGGATATCCCGGAGAGGAAGGTGGTCGAGCTATTGCCGATGTTGTCTTTGGCAGATATAATCCTGGTAAATACGAAATTGTGCTACCATATCAAAGTGGATTTATTTTTAATTTTACTTTTTAATAAATCTAATCTTGCAATGCATATATTTTATCATATTTCAAATTCAATAGTACTTTATCTTTTAAGCTTAAGCAAATATACTCTTTATACCATGGTGAGTTATTTCGATTAATTTACTAGGTGGAAGGCTACCGCTAACATGGCACACGGCGGACTACGTCGATATGTTGCCCATGACATCGATGACGCTGAGGCCGGACCCCTCCCTGGGCTACCCGGGACGCACCTACAAGTTCTTCAACGGCTCCGTCGTGTACCCCTTCGGCTACGGGCTAAGCTACACGTGGTTCAACTACACGCTGACGCCCGCGAATAAGCAATCCGTCCACATCAGGTTGGGGAGTCTCGACTACTGCCGCGACCTCGACTACAGCCCCGGCACCAAGAGGCCGCCGTGCCCCGCGGCGCCCATCGAGGACTTGGATTGCGGCCTCCACCACATCGATTTCGAGGTGGAAGTGAGGAACACCGGGACGAGGGACGGGAGCGACGTCGTCTTGGTGTACTCGAAGCCTCCTGATGGGATCTTGGGCACCTACATAAAGAAAGTGATTGGGTTCAAGAGGGTCTTCGTCAGTGCTGGAAGTAGCCATAAGGTTCATTTCAAGATCGATGCTTGCAAGGGCTTGGAATTGGTCGATTACGCCGCGAGTCGCGTCCTGCCATCTGGGGGTCACTCCATTGTGATCGGAGATGATATTGTTTCTTTTCCTTTTCAAGTTAACATCAGTTAACAGATGGTCTAGTTTGGGAAATTGTAAATAAAACTCAAAAGTGGGATTAGGTTGTCTGCTTATCACGCGTTTGTTAGGGATAGTTAGGATAATTCTGAATGATATATTTACTATATTAAAAATAATCAGGATATTTCTGTGGGTTCTTTGTACTTATTTCCTACATTTGGGTCCATTATCTATATAGATTGGGAAAATTGATAATTTTTTTTTGGGGAGAAACGATGTGTTTACATTGGATGAACTATTTCCTAATGATTTTTCGGATTTCGACTTTATACTGAAATGGGCTAGATTTTATAGGGTGAGTTTTCTTTCACTCTTTACTGACGTCATATTCGCAATATATGATGGCTATAATTCGACCATGACATAAAGTAGATTCTATTGTCCTTGACAGTGAATTTGCAAGTGTATTATCCTCATATTTAATTACTTAGATCATACACAACCAAGAGGCAAGATATGATCAGTTCCTCGATGGGATTCCCGGGCGGTCCGATTCCCACCTAGGAACTAGGAACCAGGAATCAGGAACCGAACTGTCCCATTCTAGAATCGAACTTGACTTAACCGACCAATCCAGTCTGGTTCCTGAATGGGCCAACTCAAAATTTTACTCTAACATTTTTATGAACACATAGTGATAAATACAAACATAGAATACGGAGTCCTCATTTATGCTCCAATTCCGATCCAAACAAATCTCAGTGACACCAACATGTATATAAACTACGAATAGATCCATAATCACTACTCGACTCTTATTTAAAAATTGGTCTCAAGCATCACGTTTTAATTCACTGAAATAGCAAGAAGGTTTGTACCTTCGATGTAGTCTCTGGCCAAGAACAAGGATCGGATCGGATAGGGGATCTTGACCTCAGAAGCTTTTTATATGCGGTGGTTGATACTGATGAAGAGGCTTCGAACGAGAGTTTTGAGCTTCTCGGACGCATTGACAGTGAAACAGGGCGAAACAAAGAGACTCTTCAGGTGAGAGTCACCCGGAGAGGGAGGTGAGAGTTGAGCAAGAGGGAGGCGGGCGACTTGAGTGAGAGAGTAAGAGTAATTGAGATTAGGGCTTGTGTTGTGAAAGAGGGAGAGGGAGCGGCGAAGCGCGAGTCGTTCGTGCAAGTAAGTATAAATATGATGATTGGTCAGACCAAGGAATAATGTTCAACACATTAAGGTTTTTTAGTTTTTATATATTTGTAATAAATTAAAAAAAAAAAAGATCGGTCAAGTTCGGGTGGTTCAGATAGGCAGTTCCATAATAAAATCAAGAATTGAACGAAAATAACCGACTCCAATTTTTTGGAACCTTGAACAAGACCGGTGCCCCTAGGAACTGCCCACAATTGGCAGGTCCGGTCCGATCCGGGCGATTTCATTTGCTTACCTTAGACAAGGTGGCAACAAGGGGCTTTTGCGTGTAAATAAATAGAAAAAAAAATGAATGATGGATTCCAAGTCATTTTATATGATTCTTATATTGAAGCGACTCTATTGTCAAAAAGAATTTCTTAAAAAAAGATTCCATTTACATTTGATTTATGTTTTTCTCTTTGGGATGAAAATGGGGTTGGTTTCATTCCGAATTTTTATTGGAAAAATAAGTTAGTTCCACACGTCCATTTTCAAATGAACTCTGGCTAAGATAGGACATGATAAGGTGGGATTAGAAATCCTTCAAATATCTTCCAGATTGTAAAAGATCATTTTCCATGTTTGGTGCAATCCAATATAGGATTTAAAATCTTTGAAAATCTCACTTGCTGATAGAGGGAATACTTTCCAAATCTAAGGTAGCAAGACTAGCACATTTTGAGCGATCACCGTTTTTGTTGGAGATCCTCCTCCTCCTTCTCCTTTGAAATCTTTCGATTGCTAGTATAGAATCTCAAATCTGAGTAAAGGACGCAATTGGATGTCGAAGCATCACTGCAAAATCAGGTGACCACTATTTAGGACCAACATACATTGAAGCATCATGCCGGTTCTGTTCGACAGTCATCGAAAGACAATCGGCTGGACGGCAATGACAATCGGCGTTGGTCGGAGACAATGACAATTGCACGGTCGTCGAGAGTGATAGGTTGTTGTGGTGGCGGTTCGCCGAATTGCTATGTTTTTTCTTCTTACTTTTTTTATCTAATCCGGTTTTATCCCACCCCATAGCCCGAGTTTCTTATTCGACATTTTATCTGGGTATATCCGGTCCAGAAGACGTCGCCAAACATTAGATATGATACTTTGTTATCATATTCGAACTCAAATCCGGATTATCAAACGTAGCCTTTTTAGGTTTTGACACAACATATTACAGAGAAAGACTCCAAGGGGCAAGTTTCATATCACTTCTTAGTAAAATCACATTTACAATATACCATAAAATTGCTAGGAATATATCCACACTATAAGTGGACCATGACGATATTCCTACTCAAAATGATCTTTTAGATCACGCTCGCTATCCCCCATAAATAAAATCGGGTCCGATGCACCAAAATAGGCTACCATAAAGAATCTGCATGATTAAACGAGTCGAAATTCAAATATCTATAAAAATTTAAAAAAAAAACGGGGCGTTTCTCATCATTGTAGCACGTAAGTTACCAAAAAGTCTTTTTGTGTGTTCATGGGGTTGTTTTGAGCTATTATGTCTTTCCTAATTGTTTATATATATAAAATAGACATTATTTTACTACAGAGTTAACGCCATGAAAAATCCCGAACTAACGCACATATGACAAATTTACTTTAAACTAAATTTTTTATACAAAAAATCCCAAAAATGATACGTTTGTAACAAATTTACCCTCCGTTAAATTAGATTAATAGAATGAAAAATCATAAACTGGTATATTTGTGATAAACAGAGGGGTAAAACCCTAAATTGGTACACCCGTCAATTGTCACATGTCATCTAACTCAGCAATTTAATGGTAAAATTTAACGGAAACCAACAGAGGGTAAATTTGTCACAGTTGTACTAGTTCGGGGTTTAGTTTGGGGTATTCATGTAATAAACTTACCCCAAACTAATTTTTTGACCACCAAGAACCCCATGGTGGTACACCAGTGACAAATTTACCCCAAACAACCCAAAATTAGTACATTTGTGACAAATTTACCCTTCGTTAAATTGGATTAACAGCATAAAAAATCATAAACCGGTAAATCCGTGACAAACAAACATAGGGGTAAAATCCTAAACTGGTACGTTCGTCGACCGCCACGTGTCATCCAACTCAGCAATTTAGCGGTAAAATTTAATGGAAACTAATGGAGAGTAAATTTATCACCGGTTTACCAATTCGGGGTTTTTTATAGTCAAAAAATTATTCCGAGGTGAATTTGTCACGGGTATATCAATTCGGGATTTTTCGTGGTATTAACCCTATCGTATAATATATTTCCAGGTATAATGTCTTTTACTATAACGTGTAACTCTATATATATGTAATATATATTTGCGGATGTAAGTTGTAACAATACTGGCTGTGTTCGTTTGCGGAAAAATATTTTTCCGGAAAATATTTTCCGTGGAAAAACATTTTCCTTCCCCACCCCCAAATCCTTCATTGTTTTGAGGAAAATGATTTCCTCTTTTCACAAAGAGGAAATCATTTTCCCCCAAATTGAAAGCAAAATTGCTCATGGGAGGGAAAATATTTTCCGCATGAGAGGAAGTTGATCGCCGGTCACCACCGTTGGCCGCCGGTCTTGCCCGCCCGCCGCCGCCGCCATGGCCGTTCTTGCGCGCCGCCGGTCTCGCGGCCCGCCGCCGTGCCGCCGCGGTCGCCGGTGGAAAATATTTTCCGAAACTTTTTCATATTGATCGCCGAATCCGAAAATTATGTTCGGGAAAACATTTTCCAGGAAAATGACTTCCGGGAAAATATTTTCCAAAAGGAGAATATTTTTCGGCAAACGAACGGAGCCTATATATATATTTTACTTTTCCCAAGGGTGGGGCCGCGGGGGAGGGCTTCGGTCCGGGTTGCTATCAGTTTCGAAGACGCGCACAAGATTTTTGTCAAAGCCGGCAGGCCCCACACCCCCCCTTCACGCGTGCTCGATCCGACGGCCAGAACACCATCCGCTGGACCCGGGAAAAAAGCATTCCCGCGATGGCCCCCGCCCCCGCCCCCCCAAACCCCGGATCCGACGGCCCAGATCCCCCGCCTTTTGACTTGGAACCCATCCAAGAAAAAATAAAATAAAATAATAACAACAACAAACAAATAATAATCAAAACAAAAAAGAAAAAGGAGAAAAGAAAGAAGAAAATACTAATTCCCTGGTGCGCACCCCTTCTCTCTCTATCTCTCCCTCTCCCTCCATCTCCGCCTTCGCACATCTCATCACTTTACTCTCTCTCTCTCTCTCTCCTTCTCTCTCTCTCTAGCGCGAGGAGCATCTGCGATCTTCGATTTCCCTGAGGAGGAAGAAGAATCCGACGTCGACGACGACGAAGCAGGTTCGTCCCTCTGTCCGATGTTCGTGTCCCGTTCCCGGGGAGGGGGGGGGGGGGTTTGGTGTCCGAGCGGAGGTGTTTGATTTCCCCCCTCGGATCGGTAGCCGTCGAGCCCTCCTCCTCCTCCTCCTCCGTTCGAGCTCGCTCGCTAGCCCCCGCGGCTTGGCTTGAATCGGAGGGGGGGGGGGGGGGGGGGGGAATTTTCGCCCGGGGGGGCGCTTCTTCTCTGGTTTGCCGTGTCGTTCTGGCGTCAGATCTCGCCCCCCGCCCCTGTTCATTTTGGCGAGGGTTCCGTGGGTCCGTGCCTGCCCGTTAGGAACTGGAACTGGAACTGGGGGTTCGTCCGTTTCGTTTTGGTTGTTCTTGAAGCGCGTGAATTCGAGCTGTGTGTGGGGGAGATGGTGGGTGTTGAATGGGTCGTCGGGTGGTGCCTGTTGCCGGGATTGCAATTGGGGTCTCCCCGTTTGATGGGTTTTTCTTCTTTCTTTCTTTCTTTTCTTTTTAAAGAGGCTTGCCGTTCTGTTTCCGTGTCGGTGCAGATTGAAAGAAGCGGATCAACATGCCGTGGATGTTCAGGAACTCCGTTCGCATGGTTGCCTTCTTCTTTATCCTATAGTTTCGTTGAGTTGGTAAGTCCTTTTGGCTCTCTGAGTCCCCGCGATCTGTTTTCGGTTTTGCTTCGTAAATTTGTCCTGGTTCACGAGAAGTTGTCGGCGTTGAATGTGGGGGTGGGAAAGCGTGGGGATTCTTGAGGGGAACTTCGTACTGCGATTCATGGTGTTCTGCCTGTGAAATTTTAAGTTGCTGAAGGTGATCAGTTTATGTATGCTTTTACCTCACACCAAGAGTGATAAGGTAGTCATTTTAGCGATGATGAGGTTGAAAAAATTAGTAACAACTGTCAAGAGTTTTGAGTTTGGTCTTGTTAAATTCTTTCTCAACTACATGCTGGCGTCGTGGGCAAGAGAATGGCTATATTCTGCTTAGCTTCCTGGTTTTCACTTTGCAGGTAGCTTTTCAAAGTTCAGCAACAAATTCATCTGGTTTGGCCGTTTGGATTTCGTGGGAGAATTGAGAATGTACATTGCAGTTACCATTAAGAGATATCGAGCAGTGAAGGAAGTTGGCAAAATTAAAATGAGTGTTGGATTGATTGCGCATTACCAATTGATGCAAGTTTGTCAGGTAAAGTGCTCATTTTGATTTTTGCTGGGTCAAGATCTTAATTTCTTACGAATTTGTACTCCTGGTGTTTTACCTTGAACGTACTGAATGTGCTTGCCCAGATGTAGCCATTTTGGTTACTGCTGAGTGGGTGCTACTTTTCCTCACTAACATTTACCACTTCGCTTTTCAGTATCTTAAGTGAAATTGCAATTAAAAAAGTGCTATTCTCTAAAAAGATAATTTTTGAGTTAATTAATGACATCTTCGCTTACTGTGCTTAGTTGTGCGGGGTTGTAAATGCTTATAATCCACACTAGTGCTTCGTCATGATGATATTTATGACCTACTTGTGGACCATTTGTCCAATGTTTATCGGTTCCTGCAATCATCTTCTGGGCATGCATTTCAGTACTGTTTGGGTGAACTTCGCTTTGTTCACTGAAAGTTTGGCTGTGTTACGACCCTCAACTTTTAAAAGTCGCATTTACCTCAATGTTTTGGCACTCTGCAGTTACGTGACGCTTCTACAAACCTGAAATTTGTGGTCTGTAGCACTTTACATTGTAAACTTAAATAAATCCTTTAAGTGACTAACTTATGGGATTCCACATTTATTGAAGTGGACGATATGAATTATGACACGATAAAAATTTCACGGCATGAAAATGCCAGGATTTGAAGTTAACGGTTTAGGGTGCAAACTCAGACCACCCCAAAGTTCAGGGATTAAATGGAATTTTCCCTTCTCATTTCCTATATGTCAATTGGGTGTTGTGGCCTGTGATCAACCCATGCATTGCCAGTATCCCTTCCTTCAATCCCCCAAGTTGTCCCTATCATGTTAATAGTGCGATAATTGTTAAATGTGAAATAAAAGCTAACTGCCTTTTCTTTGATATATGCTTGATAATTTGGTTTCCTTTCATCGGATTATGCGCCATTTGTCTATATACTGGCTACATGTTCTTACTGCATTTTCTATGCATGTTTGGCTTAACCTGATTGTCTTATTTGAGGACGAAATATTGTAGCCTAAACCCGTGTTTCCCTGTTATGCAACAGGCTGAATACTTCCGTCAGTTGCTTAAACCTGTTACGTAGTCTCACCCTGTTAAGCTCTGGGATTTGGGACTTTGGGGAGAATAGAGAGGCCCTCTGGTTGTGTTCATGCAGGAGTAATGCCTTGAAAGTGAAATAATTGGTTCTGATAATCATTACAGTAGCCTTATCTAGTATTTAGTTCTGTGACTCTGTCGTCGCTTTAGCCACCTTCTCAGCCATCTGAAAGTCAGTGTTACAAACTTGAATAGCTGAAGATCTACATCTTCACTGCGGACGATTATTAGTAGGAAATTGTAACGCTGATGGAGAGCAACCACCACTTGCCCCCTGAAAAGGAAAGATATTCCTTGACTAATCAAATGAGTGGTGAGTACATGGATTTTCCGACTGCATATGCATTTTGTGCGGTTCCACCACCACAAGCCGTGGAACACCTTCCACCGGTCCATGGTCTTCAATTTCAACCATCTACTTTGTGCCCAAAGAATTTCATTGTATTTGACCAGACTGCTCACGAGAGTCGAATCATGTTTCACCCGGCAATTGCCCCCAAATTTGGAAATCCAGGCTTTCAAAGCTATCCGACCTATGTGGAGAAGAAAGATGAGATAAAATGTGCTTTTAATGAGCAAAGGGAGGTTTCATTTTCTGATAAAGAGGACTCAGATGACATTGATGCTTTGCTGAGCTTGGAAGAGGAGGAGGAAGAAGAAGAGTATGACGAGGATGAGGTGAGCACTGCGCGGACTAATGGCAATTACAGTTGCTCGTCTCCTGATTCTTGCTCCAGCTATGGATCAAAGGCTAGGAATCTTAGCATCTCTTCTCTTCTCCAGAAGTCCTCGGGCAGTAGGAGCCGTTCGGGCAGTGAACCCAAGCAGCAGAAAATGAAGAGGATGGTAAAGGCGCTGAGAGGAATCATTCCTGGTGGCAACCGGATGAGCACTGTCACTTTGTTTGATGAAGCTGTTAGATACCTCAAGTCTCTGAAGATTGAAGCAGAGAAGCTTGAAGACTTGAAGGACTAGACTGGTATCCATGCTATGGCACTGGGACTGAGCTGCTACATACGGGTAGCACACCCCTTGTCTCTCTCTCTCTGTGCTGATAATATGCATTTGCTAGCTTGTAGATGCTGTTATGATATATGCTAATGGTTGTTAGGAAGTTTGGGACTATGAACCCCAGTTAGCTGCTTTGAAGTGAAGAGAGACTGAGAAATGACTATTTATATGTTCTGTAAGGTGCAGATTTCTTATGATGTAGCTGTATCGACTCTTGGGCTTGTAGACACTGCAATAAAAAGTAATTATCATCGGTGCCTCATAGGCATAACTGTCATTAGTTGTGTTCCATTAGTAGGTGTACAGTCCCTCGTCTTTGTTCATTAGTAGGGGTACGCTCCTAAAATTGGGCATTATAGAGGGATGATAAGTCCGATAAGTTGTTATTATCTGTTGGCTTCTTCCATTCTACAATCTCTTGGATTATATCAATGGGGAGTGCCAGTTTTTTTGGTATGAGTTCACTTTTCTATGGAAGTCGCAAGTGATCATTGTCCCTTCATACCCTTTCGGCTTGCAAAAACATGTTGTGCTCACAGCTATTATAGCTGTGGATTTTGAGCTCCTAGCAAGGTAGATCCATTTGCGCAATGCCTTATTATTTACTACAAAATCAAGTCAATGAAGTGGCCCAGAAGTTTCGCTATATGTGAATTTGTTTCTGGCCATTTTCTTCACGTGATTGTATTTGATTGAAGACTTGAAGCCACCCCACTACAAAATCTGCTCTTTAGGAAATAATTCAAGGCCTCACTTCCACTCTGATACTACTTTCATACCTTTTTTTCTTGAAGTTACTAATTTGCTAGTTGAATTGTGTCTTTGGTAATTACTTAGCACCTTCGTACCAGTTATCTTTGGGGACTTGTATATAAAAACTGTCGTTTTCTTTTTCGAAAAAAGCCCCTGTCCAAATTCTGAATTCCCACACGACCCCTGGACAGACGGTCTTGATTTCGATTACAGAAGTAGCTAGGGATAATTATGCTTTCTTAAACAGGAATTATAGAGGAAGCAGTTCACATGGGGTTTACTCCTGGATCTTCTTTAGAACCAAAAGTCAAACCGGTCATATTCTCAACATGGATTGCGCAAAAACGAATGAATTAGTGTTCGGAAGTTGCAACAGAAACAGGAGTTATGCTTGGAATCTACAAAGTAGTAGCTGTGATAAGAAGGCTGACACAACAAAGGATGAACTTGTTGTCTTAAGAAAATTAAAACTTTTTCGTGGATGGCTCGTAAAGAAACTTTTGTAGAATGAAGAACAACTGTGCAATTGGTATATATCCACTCTTTCAAACTAATAGCCACAGGAAAAGGCTGGAATCGACTGGTAATATTAGACATGTTCCGGTTTGCAGATGTGCTGTTTCTTCGCATGACTTTATGGATGACTCTACAGCAACAAATACCTCTAACTCTTTAAAAACACTCTTTTTTCATTTTACGAGAAGCACAACCCTTTCAGAGAATATCAATCAGAAAAGAAGTAGACTTTCACGAGTGTAAGCACGAGAGTTGTAAAGACAGACAATAGAAGTCCTAAATTTTCCAGAGAGTCCTCAGTCATCCTTGGTTCCCATAGATAGCCTTGCAGTCTTCAAACCAACCGTTGGAAGCCGTATCTAGGTCAAAGAGGAAAAACTATTTTGATTTTCTCTAGGTTGCTTTCTACGGATTGTAGACCTTGAAAGTGGTCGCTAGACCCTAATTTGAATTCAAATCAAATTGGAAGATGATCTGGTCTTCTTTTTCAAGAATGTAGAAGCACGTAACATGTCTTTTACTCCATTTGTAGCAGGAGTTGCTTATGCATATGGTACCTCCATTTTTTACGCTTACTGCTGAATTGTTCACCTTCTCCACTCTGGTACTTCTAAGCATAACGAAGTCTTCTGGCTCTACATAGTTGTTCACCTTCTATTGGCCCATTTGAGCTTTAATGACTCTCTCGTTCTAGAGCTCGCTCACCTTCTACACAAGTCCATCCAACTTTAGACACATTCGATATCAAATTCCTTATTCACCTTCTGTAGAAGTATAGCGCTACCGGCCTTCAAAGTTTCCGTTTAGGACTCCATCTGCATATTGGCCTGTGCATCTACAAGCTATTTCTACACAAGCAACGTGCTTTGATTACTTTGTAATCTGCAAAACAACATAGGGGATTATCCCAACAATAGCTGGACTTTTGGAAACTTCTTAAATTAAATGGAGCATTCTTTTTTTCTGGAATCATTGCTGATTGGTATGATCATCTCAGAAGCGAAGAAAAAGCTGTGTTGCATAATGAGGCCACTCCGGAAGCAATGTTTGCTAAATTTTGTGCAGGAATAGTGAAAGAATTATTAGGAGTAAAATTCGGATTTAATGATCAGAAGAATGGCAGTGAAAATTAAACAATATAAACTCTATAATCTCAAGGATTTTAGAAAATTACATCGTGTGAATTCTCCCGTTATTGTCAAACTAGGGTACAGCAGTCAACATATGTTAATATTCTTTCATAAGTTGCAGTATCCCATTAATATTTTGATTATCGAACAATGTGGAGAGTGAAGAATTGCAAACAATAAGCATGATACCCATGGATCAAGAAGAGAAAGTGGGTGAATGCTCAGAGTGCTTGCAAATGATGAAAGATAGAAAGATCAAAAAGCAAAACCCTAAGGTGGTGGTGTACTCCGCGAGAATGGGATCGCAAACGAAAGAATAAGAAAGAATATAAGAAAAAGCATTGCAAGAAGAAATCTTGCATTAGGCAAAGAGGAGAAAAGTATAGGAATAAAGCTTGTAAAGATTGCCCAAATGTAGAAAAGGTATTGCCCAAAAGGAAAGAAAGCTTGTAAATACTGGGCATGTGGAGAAACAGGTATAAGTATACTGGGTTGATAGAAAGTTTTGACGACCCAACTGACATCAGGAGAACGTCTAAGTTGCTTATACACAGTTAGGATACAACTCGTGAATCCAAAGACAATAATCATAGTACAACAAATGACATACACTCATCAGGACATTCAAGAACTAGCTGAACAAATCAACAAGTTGTTAGAGAAGAAGCTCATTTAATCAAGCACGAGTCCCCCCACAAGTCCTCCATTATGGTTCCAAATCATGCCGAAGAAAAGAGGGGAAAGGCCAGAATGGTCATCAATTACAAGAAGCTGAATGATGATAGGGTGGATACTTCATTCCTAGCAGAACTGTTTTAACAGAATAATGGGTGCCTCCTGGTTCTCAAGAATGCACTGTAAAAGTGGCTATTGGCAAATCAAGATGGCAAAGGATGACATTCCATTAGCAGCTTTCGGTGCTTCACAAGGACATTATCAATGGGGAGTTGTGCCGTTTGAACTAAGCTTATGAAACACACGACGTTGGACTTGGACTTCTCAGGACACGTTTGTTGTCAAAACTCTGAGAAAAGATGCAAGTTACCATTTTTGTCGGCAATTTCGTCACTTTTTGTTGGCAAATATTGTAGTGGTAGTTTTCATAAAGCCGAGATTAATTATCGACAGCTGAAAACTGGGATATTAGCAAAAAGTAGAGGTACAGAATTTTTTTTAATATCTTTAACTCCTGAAACCATTTCTAATAAAAACTCATTGTAAAGGTACTCTCAGCTTCATTAAAAGGCAGTTATCCAATATACAAGCGCATGGGCGACTCCCTGCATTGATAGTTATGGCTTAAGCGGTTTACCTTTTCTGTTGATAGAATTCATGGTTCAAAGTATTCTTTCGCCGACCGTCTCACCCGAGAACTAGTAAAAGACAGACATGTGCTCTTAAGCAAGAGAAGGACAATCTCCCTGCTGAAACAGAGAAGATGTTGGACTGGGCTACTCCGGCACGGTCGGTTTGATAAAAGACTTGAAGGAAGCAGCAAATGCCTGTTCCAGGAACGGACTAGTCGAAGCCACAAGCCAAATAGCACAAAAGCTACTGGTGTTAGAACTACCAGCTTTTTATTTCCAGTTCACAACTGATATACAAGAGCATATTCCAAAGTTCCTTTATGTAAAAACGTTTATGGAATTCTACTATGCAGTGCAAGTCATAAGAGCCCAACTCCTTGGCACTCCAAAATAACAAAGGAACCTGGACATGTAATCCAACGAGATTAGATAAAGGAATTTCCGTGGCTTAGTCCGAGCGTCAGTATTTAATCGTACACGCCCAGCTCCACCAAGATTAGATAAAGGGAGATAGATAAGGGCCGGAAATGTTTGAACTCGAAATCTCTTATTCTGATATCATGAAAAATTTTGTGGAATTATCGTCAACTGTTCTCAAAACTTAGACCGTAAATAAAATGCAAAGTTTTTCTTGCCAATTAAAAAACCTGGAATAACACTGAAGTCGAAACAAGGACATGCAAGAATGACCTAGACAGAAGAATCGATTTTTTTTTTCCGTGAAAAAAAACACAAAATTTTCAACTAATTGAAACTCTCGGGACAATCTAGTGAATTTTTCCTTTTCGTGTACAATATTCTTCACAGCTACCAAACACAAGACAAGAACAAGATGGAAAGATTGCGTAGAGCCGAGTGGCGTGGGTCACCCACCTCGTTGTTTGACTGTAAACATCAATGTTGAAAGATGGATTTGAATTCCACTAATTGGGTTAGGAGGGTGAAACAAATTCATGAAATCCCAATTATTCTCTGTTTAAATTTTAATTATCAACCTGGAGAGTTTTCTTTACTCATCATTGTGACTAAACGAGAGTCGTTGGATCGTTTACATAACGCTGCGGTATCCTTCTCCTCGACCACCTCTATTAACATCTCATTCGATAAATTTAACAGGATTATACTTCTTACCTTTCTCATTAGCATGACTTCTATCATTGTTTCGGGTAACTCGTCCTTACCCTTTAGTGCTTCGACCAAACCTTGAATTGTTAATAGCGCTTCCGTCTTGATGCTCCATAACCCAAAGTTGTTCCTCCCCTTAAACTTATCAATTTTTATTTTCGCTCCAAACATAATTATAACAACAGAATTTCTAAATAATAATTAGACAAGTAAGAGCCCCAAATCAAAATCCAGAAAATCCTATCCTCAAGCTTTGATACCAACTGTTAGGAGCGGTAGCAAAAGTCCAATTCCTTCGTCTGGGGAGATTGCCAAAAGAGAGTTTAAGTGCGAACCAGTCAACATATCCAATTGGATCCACATTCATTCAAAACTAAAGCCAATGAGTTATGGGCCAACTATGATATATTAACTTCTCCGCACTACATCAATTCTCCAATGAAGGGCTTCTGTAACACAACTTATACTTGCATCTCAACAAAAAGAATGAGAAAGAAAAGAAATTTGGGTAATGCTACACGAATAGGAATGCTCCACAGACAGGAAGAAAGAAGGAAGCACACAATTTCACTGCTTCAATTTCGGAGATAATTTGGGTGCTCCAATGAACGGGGAATAAGAGCCAAAAAGAATTTGGGTTTCTTCTTTTGTTTTTAGGGTTATTAGTTTATACCCATATTTTTTTGACAAAAATATCCCTATTCTGATCGTTGGAAATGTCACAGGTTCGTCGGCCGGCAAGTTCAGGTGCTTATTTGAAACTGGTTTAGCCACTTCATGATCTTATTTAATATCCATTCTAGACCCTCTTTTGAGAAAATGACCATACTTCAAGTTTTTATTTGGAATTTTTCCAATTTGGCATCACAAAGTCTGTATTTAAGACAAACCTGTTAGAAGAGCAGAAGGAACTTAATGATGGAGACCCAACAGGCAACACCCTCCTCAAGCTAGGGAAATACAAATCAACAATTGTGGAAGCAAGACAAACTAGTCCCGAAGGAGGATTACTAAGAGAACCCTCAAGAAAGCTTGATCATTGGTAACAGCACCAACCAATTCTGTCCAAGACGCCAACGGCATAAAAGATAGTTAGCACATGAAGGATGACATGTCGGGATAGGATTAAGAAACTCTAATAAAGAGATTCTATCATGAGTATCCGATGATAACAAGAACAACACCGCTAGAAGTGTCGGCTAAAGACAACAAAACAGGAAAAATTCTTATCACAAAATAAGTTAATGATCATGTGCGCTCAATGTAAATCTGCACAAAACATCAGAAAATGCGGCAAAAGGACACTATAAGTGCCATAAATTGTGTACAGAGATCACTTTGGTGCCATAATTTTTTTTCGGATCACTTTGGTGCCAATTTTTTTGAAAAACGATCACTTTAGTGGCAATACTGATATGGCCGCCGGAAATCTGACGTGGCTCTTTTTTTATTAATTTTCGATGCTGACATGGCTCACCGGAAATCTGACGTAGCTCGTCGGAAATCTGACGTGGCTCTTTTTTTGGCCGGAGTCACAAAAGTGATCTCTTTTCCTCCGACTTGGCACCAAAGTGATCCGAAAAAAAGTTATGGCACCAAAGTGATCTCCGTACACAACTTATGGCGCTTATAGTGTCCTTTTGCCCAGAAAATGCAAACAGATTGAAGATAATAGAGGTGACTCTGCATAGAGCACGCAGAAGGAATCCACGACATTGTTTTCCAATAAAACTAGAAGCAACTTCGAAGAGAGGGCGTCATAAAACAATCCTCAGAAGCCACATTATTCTTAGGAACCCCTCCATCAGAAATTCTCTTCAATATTTCTGTTCATAAACTCTTGTACTACTTGTCAAGCGTGTGAATTCTTCTTCCAATAATTCAGTGACTCTGGTGAGGTGTCAATGGTTGTCCTGTAAGTGTGTTTTGATTATGTCCAAGTGTGTTTTAAGTACTGCTTGAGTTGTAATGATGTTTAATATGTTTTAAATAAGGAAAAAAGTCACCTGTGACACATTTACGTTGCACTTTTTTTGTGATATAAAAAACTCCAAATTATGCCCATTGTGACACATTTACCTTAAACATTTTTTTTTTATAATATAAAGAACCTCCAACTTGTACTTATATGATATATTTACCTTCAATCAAGGTTCCGTATGATTTTTCATTTAAAACAATGTCATTTTTATTTCACTTAAGTCACGTAAGCCTCATGCTATGTCAACGATGTTTGTTTTTCGACGTTAATGTAGGCATATTTTTAATGGTTCTTATTGACGGAACTTTGATTGAGGTAAATATATCACATAAATATAAGTTTGGAATTCTTGGTGTCACAGATTTTAATGAAATGGTTCTTCTTAGGAAATAGATTGAAAAGATTTAAAGGACAAGGTAGAATTCCTTAATCTCATAAAGGACAAATTGAGAAAAATACCCACTTCAAAGGCAAAATGGGAAATATCGATGGAGTATTCTTGATTTTAATCCCGTTAATGGTCGTACATAGATTTGTCTCAGGAGTACCGGTTGATAAGAGGTCGATGTGAAGATTAAGATAAGTCTGTTCCTAGTGACCATAACTTAGAATTTTTCGTGAGACGAGCCAAAACTTAAAAAAACAAAAGACAAAACCAGGTCGACCAAAGAATCACAATCTATCCCAATCCATTGGATCAGTTGACTCACCGATGATCCATTCCTTTTTGTTGCCTTGCGGGGACAAAGCATCAAGCGTGACTCAAAAACGAGTCGATCCTCGTCTCTTTGGCCGTCGTTTGCAACTTGCGCAACCTCTCCATCCTCACTGCCTCAGTCAAAGGGGCAAACGCGTATGGTAGGTCACAAGTCTATTGTCTTGTTTTCGCAGTGCAAATGGTTGACTTTGTCCTTTCCCCCCCGCTCTGTCTACCCAACTTGCACATCTAAAGGAATCTTTAATCACGGGTGCAATAAGAAATGTCCCACATAAATTCCAATAAGTTTCGCTTTATGCCATGTTAGTGGTCAAATGTACAAAGGATTTGGTCGACGAGCATGGGAAATTTGATAGGTTTTCTAGAATAAAAAGGGAAGACATGTTTATTTTTCCCATTTAAATAATCCGAGGTGGAGCGAAAAACATGCAACATCTTCTACGGAAAATATGGAAAACAGGAAATTCACATTGTAGTTAGGTGAGTAGGCCAGGTTCTATGCTTTATTCTTTTGGAGATTTGACAATTTTGATTGGTGGGCATGCTATCTTCATCTCCAGCTAGTGGCCAATGGAGTTTTATCACCACATTCAAGTGATCTGGTCAAACTTTCCTACTCATTTCAGTGTCCTAGAACCGCCATTTTTTGTCTTCTTAGCAATGATCTTGGTTTGACCATTTCCAGAAGGAAGACGACTTTCTTTCACATGATTTCATGGCCTCTTTAATTCTTACGTTTTCTGCTATAAAAGGTCCTCACTGAGTGTTTCGGCTCACTCACTTTCAAAGTAGTTCAGGGAAAAATGAAAATGCTCGGTCTTGATTTTGCGATATCCATGACGTTTTTACTACTCGTTCTTCTTCCTTCTCTTTCTCTGGAAACAAACACACAGGTTGAGATTCAAGCACTGAAAGCCTTCAAGAACTCCATCACCAATGACCCATTGGGAGCTGTTCATGATTGGGATGAAGTGAGTCATTCTCACTGCAACTGGTCCGGGATTACATGTGACCAGGTGTCGAAACAGGTCGTGTCCATTTCTTTGGTGGATAAGCAGCTCACAGGAGGCATATCACCATTACTAGGGAACCTCTCAGCCCTCCAGGTTCTTGATCTAACTCTGAATAATTTCACAGGGAAAATTCCGTCGGATCTCGGAAGATGCTCGCAGCTCCTGGAATTGACTCTTTATGAGAACTCTCTATCCGGTCCGATTCCGCGAGAATTAGGGAATCTCAGGAGTTTGCAGTCAATTGATTTCGGCGACAATTTCCTGAGTGGAAGTATCCCCGAAAGTATCTGCAACTGCACATCGCTTTTGGCCCTTGGTCTCAATGGCAACAATCTCACCGGCACGATTCCTGCCAATATAGGAAGATTGACCAATCTTCAGCAATTTCCAGCCTTCGGAAACAACTTGGTTGGTCCTATACCTAGCTCTGTCGGTTTACTGGAATCTCTCCAAGTATTAGACTTGAGTCAAAACCAATTGTCAGGAGTCATTCCTAGAGAAATCGGCAACTTGTCCAATTTAGAATATCTCCAGTTATTTGAGAATGCCCTCGTTGGAGAAATCCCGAAAGAACTCAGCCATTGTACCAACCTTGTCGCTCTTGAATTATACACCAACTCCTTCACAGGCTCCATTCCTCCGGAGCTTGGAAATTTGATTCAAATGAAAAGCTTGCATTTGTATAGGAATAGGTTCAATTCCACCATTCCACCATCTCTATTCCAACTTAAGTCGCTGTCCAGATTAGGACTCTCGGAGAATGATTTGACTGGTAGTATACCTCCTGAGATAGGTTCATTGAGATCTTTACAGGTTCTGACCCTTCATTCCAACAGGTTCACTGGAGCAATTCCTTCGTCCTTAACAAACTTGACAAATCTGACATATTTGACTATGAACTCCAATCTTCTCACAGGTCAGATTCCGAAAAATATTGGTTCGCTTTACAACTTGAAGAACTTGACCCTTTATGACAACCTTCTTGAGGGATCAATACCAGCTAGCATTACCAACTGCACCAGTATTTTAGTCTTAAGTCTCAGCATGAACTATCTGAGTGGAGAAATTCCCCTAGGCTTAGGGAATTTGTCAAATCTGACATTTTTAGCTATTTTTGCCAATAATATATCTGGTCAGATCCCTGATGATCTCTTCAACTGTTCGAGACTTGCTTATCTTGATTTCACCGACAACAAGTTAAGCGGATTCGTAAAACCCAGCATTGGCAACCTGATTAATCTCCGCATTCTGAAAATCATTAACAATTCTTTTGTGGGTGAAATTCCATCAGAGATGGGCAATTTGACCCAGTTACTCACTCTGTCAATGGCTGAAAACAACTTTTCTGGGCCGATTCCTCCAGAAATCTCGAGACTCTCTCTCCTCCAAGGCCTCTCTCTCCATGACAATTCCCTGAATGGCACGATACCTGATGGAATGTTTGAATTGAAACAGTTGACGAACTTGCAGTTGCAGAGGAACAGGTTGATGGGTCCAATTCCAACTTTAATCTCAAGACTCCAGTCACTTTCTCTGTTAAGCCTCAGTGGAAACATGCTCAGCGGCTCGATTCCAAGAGAGATGGAGATGCTGATGCGGCTTATGACCTTAGATCTATCTGACAACAATCTTACTGGCTCAATTCCCAGATCTGTGATTGGAAGCATGAAAAGAATGCAGATATATCTGAATCTTTCACGCAACTCATTGACGGGAATTGTGCCAGATGAGCTTGGTGAAATGGAAATGATACAGGCTATTGATATCTCGAACAATAAACTATCAGGAACCATTCCTAGAACACTCGGTGGCTGCAAAAACTTGCTTTCTCTTGACTTGTCAGGAAATAGACTTTCTGGCCCACTTCCGGTTGAAGCTTTTACAGGAATGGAGTCCCTAACAAGCCTGAATCTTTCAAAAAATGAGATAAATGGGTCACTCCCCAGTGATTTGGCAAAGATGAAGCATTTGAGTCTGCTAGATCTTTCTTATAACCATTTGATGGGCATGATCCCTGAAAGCTTCGGCAATTTTTCTAGCTTGAAGCACCTCAACCTTTCCTTCAATCATCTTGAAGGTCGCGTGCCAGAGAAGGGCATATTTGTTAACATTGATGCATCGAGTTTAACAGGTAATGAAGCTCTCTGTGGAACTGAATTTCTCGGCTCTTGTGACAAGAAATTGTCAAAGAGAACCATACGAATTTTATTGGCTGTGGGGTCTGTCACTGTACTTTGTGCACTAGTTTTGATACTTTCGATCATCAAGTACAAATCGGGCAGAAAAAAGTCACAAGCGCTTGAGAATTCAGAACCACATTATGCACCTGCAATGAACCTCAAGAGGTTTGAGAAGAAAGACCTCGAAATTGCGACTGAATTTTTCGGCAAGGACAATATCATCGGTGCAAGCAGTTTGAGCACTGTGTACAAGGGCCTCTTGGAAGAAGGGAAGGTTGTCGCTGTGAAGAAATTGAATTTACATCAATTTTCCGCAGAATCCGACAAATGCTTCAATAGAGAAGTGAAGATCCTTAGCCAACTGAGGCACCGAAATCTGGTTAAGGTGATCGGCTATGCTTGGGAAAGCGGGAAATTGAAAGCTTTGGTCCTCGAATACATGGAGAATGGGAACTTGGACAGCATAATACATGACGCTCAGATGGATGGGTCGCGGTGGACGCTGTCTAAAAGAATTGACATCTTTATTTCCATTGCAAGCGGGTTGAGTTACTTGCACTCTGGATATGATTTCCCCATAATCCACTGCGACCTGAAGCCTGCTAACATCCTTTTGGATGGAGATTGGGAGGCTCATGTGAGCGACTTTGGAACCGCTCGGATGCTAGGGATTCATCTCCAGAATGGGACTGGCATGACAGCTTCATCAGATTTCCAAGGCACGATCGGCTACATGGCACCAGGTAACATCTTGCTCATACAAGTCAATGACCATGTGATTTAGCCAAAACATCCCAAGTAGCCATTTCATTTTAGTCGAGTTCTGAACATTTCTTGAGCATGATAAGCCCAAAGATTTCACTCTCCTTCGACATCTCACAAGGTAAAAGTATCAAAGCCAACAATCTGCTCCTGCAAGCATATAAGCTGAAATCTAGACAAGTGCTGCGCATAAAACAATATCAGCTGGTATTTAGCTCATTCATTCTAACTCATACTATGATTAATTTGTACACGAAATGAAGATGTGTTATTTTTCTGAGCGATAACTATTAAATCCTCAAGTTATATTTCACTCAATCGACACTGGAGATTCACATAGTAAAAGCGAGTATTTAAGCAAGCAAACCAGATGGGAATAGATATATACTGACTTGTCGGCCATAGAGTTGAAACACAAATCATCAAAGCTGGCATTCAATACGTTCATTCTAATTAGCATGATAATGATTTGCATGAGAACTGAGTAATGTCCTATGATTCCTCCTCCGTCTGAACTCTCTTTCCTGATCTGTTCTGGTGCAATTTCTAAGCCATAAATAACAACTCTTGGCTATCTGTCACTCAATCAGTATATTCTTTTTTCTCCCTTCGGCCAGAATTTGCCTACATGCGAAAAGTCACAACAAAGGTGGATATTTTTAGCTTTGGAACAATAATGCTGGAGCTGCTAACAAGAAGGAGACCGACTGCGCTCACTCAGGAGAACGAATCCCCAATCAGTTTGCATCAACTGGCAGAGACGGTTCTTGCAAACGGAACCAATGGGATTTTCCAAATCTCGGACCCTCTGCTAGCTTCAAATGTTTCCAAGGAGCAGCAGGAAACCATAGAAAAGCTCTTCCAACTGGCTCATCAGTGCACTTCTCCAGATCCGGCAAACCGACCAGACATAGATGAGGTCCTGACAGCCCTTTTAAAATTAAAGGGCTAGGCAAGCTAAAACTTGAAAACTTTTAATGCTATGAGATCTGGAAAGCATTGTAAACAGCATGCTAGTTGACTCCTGCTGGTTCTTGTACTAGCTGAACCAATTATAAAGCAGGATTATGTTCACTTGCTCTTTTTGTCCCCTTTCTTCGTAAATTTTAGCGGGTTTGGCATGACGAAATAAAAGATCTCAACCCAGTCTTGAATATCTTTCACAGTCTAGTTACTTGCATTGTTTATCCTTATCACATCAAAGAATCCAGCTGCTCGTCCTGAGCTTCCTTCATTACAATTAAAAATCGAACTTGAAAATAAGATGGCAATGACAATTAGAACAAAGCTTGATCAGAGAAAAAAGGCCCGGAAACAAGAACTGCGCATATATATCTTCTCATTGCATTGAACTCGAACTCACCCTCCAGAGTATCACATTCCGAAAAACAAGAACTCAACATAAACCGCAACAGAAACTGAGAATTCGTCGCGAAAAACTAAAATGATCACGAGGATCAGCCTCAAACAATGACACAATCTTGTAACGATGGCTCAAATTTCATCTTGTTTACCCCTTTTTCGGCCTGAATCATCAGGACCAGGAGGATCAACACGAAGGAACTCATCAACAGTGGAAGGAAACACCAACCCACCAGAACCGCAACCACCACCCTCGCAAACAGACGCAGCTTTACCCAGAAGCAGATGCACCAACCTCAACGGCTCAACCCTCTCATCCTCACCACCGGCGCCGCCGTTCAAGAAGTACTCAATCCACCGATCCAATCTCTCCGCCTCCTTCCGGCACTTGGGACCCTTCACGCCGGCGACTCGCTCGTAGAACCCTCCAGCGCACCCGCAAACCCCGGCGTCCCCGCAACCCGCTCCCCCTCCGCGAGGTTCCAGCTCGCGGTTCCCCAAACCCAGCATCCGCATCAACCGGTCGATGTCGCCGGCCGAACCGGCGCCGACCTCCGTCGCCGGCGGCGGCGGAGATATGGGCGGAGGACGGAACTGGGGAGAGCAAGAGAGGAACGCTTCTGGTGCTTCGCTGCTATCTTGACGAGGAGGAGGAGGATCGAAGGGTTGGTGGTGGTGGTGGTGGGAGGAGAGAAGGTAAAGAGGGGAGATCGGAGAATGGTCGAGTGATGACGAAGCAGTGCTTTGAGGTGGCTGGTGGCAGCGGTGGTGGTCGAGTTTGAGTCGTTTCTCGACTCGCTTGAGTGAAGAGAAGAAGTTGGAGTGCATCTGATTCAGCAATTTGATAGCAGAGATGGAGAGAAAATGGTTTTGCGGTCGAGAATTGTACCGAGAAGGTGACTCTAACTTTAGGGACGAGTATTGGAACCGGATCGAACCAGATTGAACCGGTCGGTCACTGGCAATTCCCCATTCCTAAAATTTGAAATCGGTGATAATTAGTTCGATTCCCGATTTCAGGTATAGACCAAATCATCCAAATCGGACCGATATTTTTTTTTTTCCTCTCTTTTGTAATTATTATTTTTACAAAATGTTTCTTAAAAGATGATTGGGGGTTGCAAAAGTAGGGGTTACATTTTCTCAAGCCTGAAAGATTCTTTCTTGTTTCCCTTGCGCAAATTTTTGGGGGACAAAAATGCATTGCGGTAAAGAACGGTTGAGAATCTTGTTACTAGTCTTCGTGAAGATCAGTGTTTTTAACTTTAGCTGCGATACGTAGACATTGATTTGATAACTATATGCAAAAGATTTTGTAATTTGTAAACAACAACGTTTATATTTGCATAGAGAAGAGACACTCTCACAATCTTGCAAGGAATAGAAAAAAAGAAGAAAGAAAGAAAGAAAGAAATCACCACCAGATCTTGGACCCATTTGGGAACCGAACCGGACCGGTCGCTCCTATTCGGTCCGATCGGTCCGGTTTCAAGATCAGGTGGGCTAATTTCACAAACTAGGAACAGACTCTACTAGTCTGGTTCCAAATTTCAAGGTGGGAATTGACCTACCCTAAAACTGATTACTTCCAATTGACGTCCCAATTTTTATGTCAAAAACTAGAGTTTTTTTAAAGTTCTAAAAGTTTATTATTGGAGCAGTAAAAGATTTCTAGAAAAATTCAAAAGTAATTTGAATAGTGATGTAGCAAGCAGGGATCACCTAGAGGGGGTGAATAGGTAATCTTAAACAATTTTTATCAAATTATGCGGAAATGAAAGATCACAATTGATTCTGAATAAAATTCAGATTCAAAACAGTTTATATAGACAGTGCTCTTGATGTGCAGTGTGTAAAGTAAGAGATAAGAGATAAAAAAAACTGCACACAAGTTTATAGTGGTTCGGCTTATAGCAAGCCTACGTCCACTCTCCCACGCTGACAGCCTACCGGCTGGATTTTACTATGTAATCAAGAGGAATTACAGCTTCTGAGTGACAGCACTCTTGTGTATGATAAGACTCTTTATCTCACACAGTTACTTTTACAAAGTGTCCCTCAAGATATTAATGTTTGGATCAAGAAAGACAAGAGAAAGGATCGGAGTATGCTCAGACTTTAGACTTGTTGATTCTTGATTCTGTACTTCCTTCTGCTGCTCGTTGATATCCTTAAATACTCCTCAACTTCCAAACTAGCCGTTGGACAGCTTTCAGAGGATCATCTTCCAATCTTCACCTTTTTGGACAGATTTGTATAAAAAGGATTGAGTATCCGTTGGATGACAGATTTTGAATCCCGCTGATTCTGGTCGCCCATATAATCAAAATCTTGGTTTCCATAAGTAGAGCTTTATCCGTTGTAATGCATACTTGTCATAGTATTTGATTGTCAATCAATTATACTGAGATTGAGACAATCAAAACTTTCCTTCTATGAAATCCATACCAGATCACTAGCTGTAATTTTTCGTTCTGAGTTCTGCGTCTGCGTCTGAAGATATTTTGCGTCTGCATCTGCGTCTGAATAACTTCTGCGTCTGCTTTTCAGAACTAAGATTATGTGGGTCTTCAGTAAGATATGAATTTATAAAGTCTGAGAGACTTTTATGTTAAAGTATGAATTTCTCATTATGACAGATTGTAAAGTCTGAAGAGCTTCCTTCTGAGCTTCCAGAATATATATACCTGGAATAAAATGTTTCAGAATGAGAATCAGATTTACAATAACATGAAAAGTTTTGTCAACTTCAAAATCATTAGGAGTTTTCCTCAACAATCTCCCCCTTTTTGATGGTGACAAAACTTTCTTTCAGATTGAATCAATTTGAAAAAATAAGCATATTAAGCGCATTAGGCACAGATTGAGATTGAAAGAGCAAACTCTATTGAGATCTATGTCTTTTTCTTCCTTTGTATATAACCTGCATATGATCTGCATATTCAATGTTAGTATGGCAATTTATCTACATATAATTTCTCCCCCTTTTTGTCATCAGCAAAAAATAATAGATTAAAGCATTGATATAACCATCCAAACAGTCTAACAAAAGGAATAGTTAAAATATTACAGGACCAATTGTGAAAGAAATGGTTTTTAAAGAGAGGGTAAAAAGCAGGCTATTTCTTAGAAGGAGTTCGAACAAGTTGAAAGTTTTCCAAGATGGAGACAGCTTCCTCAATCTTCGAAGAACATTGACCCATAGCATTCTCCATGTTTGTTGAGCTCAGAGTAATAGCTTCCTCAAGTTCTGCTTTGTCCTTTGCTGCCTGAAGACGTTGAGTCTGACTGTTTTCCTCAATAATTTTCTGTAAATTCTTCATGTCTTGCTCAAGTGCAGCTTGTTTTGTCTTTGATTTCTAGCAGAAGGGTTAAGATGGTCTGATTGTCTGAGGGCTATTCTTGGACATTGGCTTGTTCAGTCTGATCAAACCCAGTTTTCACTTCTGATGGAATCTCCCCTTGAAAAGGTGCATGATCTGCAGAAGCATGTGCTTCAGTGTCAAGAGAAGGCTGACTTACATTTGTCCGCGGTGGAGCAATGTATGGTACTATTTGAAGCAGATTAGAGTCTTCAATTGTTGGTTCTGAAACATGAGCAGCAGGTTCTAAAGAAACTTGTTGTCTCTGAACATATTCCTGACAAGCATTTTGTCCTAGGTCAAGATTTTCTGATTCATCTTCTTCATCTATGAGGAGAAGTTTTCGACGTTTTCTGTACACTTGAACAGATCTGGTTGGAATGAAGTCTTCCTTGACTTTCTCTTTTCCTCTGCTACTTCCTTCTTTCTTCCTTGCTGGTCTTCCTCTAGGAGATGATGCTTCAGAATGATCTCCAAGGGTTTCTCTTGGTCTTTGTCCTGGAGTCTCTCTATTTTCTCTGGCAGCAAACTGCTGGAAATTCATTTTGGCTAACATCTTTTCTCCAACAAACATTAGAGGGACAAATGTCTTGCACAATTCATCAGGGACAGAAATGTGCAAATAAACAAATATCCTGGATATTAATGCACCGTATGGAAGCTGACCTTTGTCCTTTAACACAGTTCTGTACATATGAAGAATAATTGTGTGTGGAAGAGAGAATGGGACTGCATTCAAAATTGCCCAAATAAGTTTGACTTCAAATTTGGACAAATCAGTCTTTGATGATGCTTTGGGCCTAAGGCAATTGATAATGATCTTGTGTAAGATCACTGTTTTCTTTGTCAAATCTGGATAAGAAATCGACCTTTTTGAACCTCTGGAAAAGTTTGGATTTTCTGAAGCAACTTTAGAGGCTTCTTCTTCACTGACCTCTATAGGAAGAAACTGACGATGTGGAACCCCAATGATATCACCCAATTGAGCAGCAGATAGTGTATAGTTCTTATGCCCAACAGAGAATTGAATGCAATCAGGGGACAAAATGGACAAGTTAGAGTAGAAATATGCAGTCACTTCTGCATATATATGCGCAGACTGACGGCCGAATTCAGTCAATCCTAACCTGTCAAAATAATGTTCGACAAAAATGCCAGTCTTTTTTAGAAAATCGAAATCAACGCTTCGATGGTTCATGATTCCTCTTGACAGCAACGTTTTATAAAAATCATTATGCTGTCGATTCCTAAAAAGATTGCCTTTCCCTTTCACTCCATAAGCAATCCCCATTTTCTTTTCAAAATGATGAACAAGCCAGGCATCATCATCCTCCCTTATTCTCGAAAAACTAGAATATCGGCTCGGTGACTTAGGGCTTGAGACAGAAGTGTTCTTTTGAGAAGATTCACCAAACTTTGCTTTGCCTTTTTTAGAAAAACTTTTCCTTTGTTCAGAAGTAGAGACATTCTGAAGAGAGGAATATTCTTCCACAAGTTGCAATTCTGACCGAAAGCCATTGTCCTTTAAAGAGGCAAGTAAAACAGATTCGGAAGCATTACCCCTTTTCAATCTTTGGTAAGTTTTCCAAACGTGTTTTAGATCTGTAAAAAAGAAATCTGTTTTACCAGTAGTTCTTTAAGAGGATGCTGGAGGAGTGTCGTTCGAAGAAGTCTGCTTCTCCGATTCTGTCTCTGAATCAGTGATTTCCATGAACTCTGGTGGTCCTGAGTACTTTGAAACTCTGTTATGAATTCTCGATGAACGTCTGTTGGAAGCCATGGATGATCGAGCGAGAATGTTTGGAACAGAAAGTTTTGATCTTTGAGAGGAGGAAAATGGAGAAGGAGACTGTTCTGAGAAGGTGTGAGTCGGAATAGAAAAGGTACGTACTGTTAGGGTTTTATTAAAAAGGAGAGTACAGTTTTTAGAAAGAAAAGACACTTTTAGAAAAAATGAACCAAATATTTAGGAATTTTGGAAGGAGAAACAAAATATTTTGAGCACACTCAATTAATGAAATAAAATTCGAGTACATACCTGATTTAAAAATGTACCAATATATCCTGCCAAAAATATACTCGCCAAAATTTGAATTAAGGACGTACCTTTCATTTGAGTCTGAAATAGACTTTCAGATGGAGGTCATTTGAGTCTGAAAAATTCCTGTCTAACAAATACTTCAAGAAAATGGGTAAGTAATGCATAGTTTATTTCTAACATATTCAAATGAAGACTTATCAAGAGGTTTTGTGAATATATCAGCTAATTGATTCTTAGAATCAATAAATTGAATATTCACATCACCATTCTGAATATGATCTCTAATGAAGTGATGCTTAATTTCAATATGCTTAGCACGTGAATGAAGAATTGGGTTCTTGGTCAAATTGATAGCACTTGTGTTGTCACATTTGATTGCAACACTTGAATCTTCAATAGCAAAGTCTCGCAACTATTGCTTCATCCGCAGAATCTGTGCACAGTAACTTCCCAAAGCCACATATTCTGCTTCTGCCGTGGAAAGTGCAACTGT